TGGCTGTCATAATGACCTCTGATGAAATAGTTCCTATCAAAAATTGAATTTTGTGAGCTTATGTATGATTTTGCTGTAAAACACGACCACTTACAAAGTATTACAATTTTCTACGTATTTAACAGAGAAATGAAATTGACTGACTTTAAATGACCATCTGACCATGGCACAAGTGCTATAGATCCTTGACAATGAAAATATATTTTTAGACATCATAATTCTTATTGGAAGTTGTTTAAAAGCCGATATAGTGATAAATATAGGTTTTGCGTGGCAGCCATTTTGAAATTTAAGATGGCTGTCAGAATGACCTCGAATGGAATATTGTAGTTCATAGTAAAAAGTTTGAATTCTGAGAGCCTGGGTATGATTCTAATGTAAAATTTGACAATTACGTAATTTTAAAGATACCATAAAANNGACCTTGAATGACCTTACATGACCCATTTGTGGCAATCTGACCAGGTCAAAAATGATATGATGGTATTCCTCGATCATATAAACATACTCTTAGACATTAGAATTATAATTCCAAGTGGTTTAGAAGGGGAGATATAGATAAACATAGGTTTTATTAGGCGGCCATTTTGAAATCCAAGATGGCCGCCATAATGACCTCGGATGAGGTGGTTCCTACCAAAAATTGAATGCTATGACCATAAGGAGCATGTAAAAAAAAATTGGTGCTTTTGTCCGGAACGTCCACATTAAGTCCAAATATGGCCCTAAGCTGCCGTACTAAACATAGAAAGAGCAATAATAGTAAAACTCGAGCGTCACGACATTGCGAAGTGTCTGCTCTTGTTCCTCGTATCGAACTTAGTCGAGTCAATCCGAGATGGCCCGATTGAAGTTTCATGCAAATGTTTCGTACGGGAAAAAAATCGCGATCGGCGGTATATAAACCGTTATAGCATAAGCAACAATGTCTGATTTTTGGGGGGGGGGGAATGTGGCAAATAAAAAAAATGAAAAGAAAAGAAATAAGAACACTTAAAATATTGAAGTAAATTTGTTACATTTAATTGGGTTAAAGCAACATATAGTACAAAATTTTGAATTTTATTTAACAATGGATGTGTTATAGCACAGTCTACCTTCAATCCCATTTCTCATGAACACTTTCTAGAAGACAAAAAACGTTGTCGCAGATTATAACAATTCAAAATATCATGTGGAAATTACATCGTAAATGGGGAAATAAAATTAATGATATGTGATACACAATAGTAAGGAGTGAAGTGAAATATGTTACACATAATTGTATTATGGACACGAAACTGAAATATTTCCAATATAAATTTTGAATAGAACTACAGTCGAGTTCGCATAAGTCGAATCAGGCCCGTAGCCAGGGGCGAACCCCCCTTTTTCAGCGAACTCCCCCTTTTGCCAGCGAACCCCCTTTTGCCAGAAAACGATCCCCCGTTTCCAAAATAGCGCAATTTATTACAAAATGGGAGCATTTTTGGCACTGTTTATTTGTCGCTATCGATCGTAGTCCGATCGTAGGAATCAAAACAAAGCTGCAGCCAGCTGAATGACGTAACCAGCAAGACTTCAAAATGAATATTAATGAGAGGTTTGTTGCCTAGGCTATTTGACCAATCGCGTGCTCCGGAGTTTATTTACTTTGGCACAACGTCATCACAAAAGTTTGGGCGCTCGACATTTTTCATTTCTCTGGGATCGAGGACATGCGACACGCCAAAAATAGCCTAGAGGAGGATGAAGCGCCGAGAAAGGATAACCGATTTCTTTGCTTTAAGGCCAGCAACGAAGAAATCACGAAATTTAAGAAGTTAGAAAATTCACCCTTGTTTTCACCACATGCTCATGATACTGCCTGGCGGCGGGACCGGTGTACTTTTTCGGGGTTGCTAGGTAGGGTAGGGTCGTAGCCTATGAGGCCTAGTATTATTTGCGAACGATTTTATTATTTATTTTGTAATCGAGCTAGCATAGGCCAGGGCCTAGGCTAGCAAGGCTAGCAAGGAAATATACTTGGTAATGTTTTCACGTTTCGTCAGAATTAACTGACATTATTCATAATAATCTATTTATTATTTTTTCTCAATATATCTCATTTAAACCAAGACAGCTCTTAAATTATTGTTTATTTTCACTGTGCTAAGTTTTTTTACATAAACTGGTTCTTAAACATGTACATTTGTAGGATTATATGTCTGGTTTTTTTTTTCAATATTACTGTGCAAGTATATTTACATAAATGGTTCTGTAACTTGTAAATATAATAACATTTCTCCTTGCCCTAATTATATATATTTCCATTGGAACTTAACATTTAAGTTATTTTGGTAAATAAGTAAAATGTAGGGCTGTCAGTTCCTATTGTTTCTTCATTTCTGCAATAAATAAAATATTATTTGCAATATTTCTCTTTTAAGCAAAGACCTTTTACATACCTCTATATTTTAATATTGGTATTTAGCGATCTCATAATGTGCAAGTTCTGTGTTTTGTACAGTCACCTAGTGGGTATTGCTAATTTTATCCCAGTTATATTTTTAAAGATAGCATTACATAGTAGCATTAAAATGTTAAGCATTGCTTTTTAATAAAAAAAAAAAAAAAGTTTGTTTCACAATAAACATTTACGTTTTAAATCCTGTATTGGAAAAAGTAGTCTTCGTATCTTATTTTTAAAATTGTGTAAGAAGTATTTAAATATACATGAACATGCATTTAAATGACATGTACATGCTTTTAAA